TTAAAATAAAATCAGTTAATGACTTATAATCAATGCTTCATCAATTATATATTGTTTTCCCCAACCATTGGTAAAGAACATTATATATTATCATACTGAACAACATTATTCAATTATTAAAGTCTAGTGCTGATGATTTTATTAGAGTAAATAGATGAGTTAATTTTTGATAATATGTATAACTCAATCAACTCCAATAAACTAAAAATCGAAAACCTTAGTGTAACTTTCACTTCATATTCTCATAATTTTAGCATTGATTGTTGCGTTAATTTAATTTTCTCATATCGCTTTTAAGTTAATCGTAGAGCTTGTAACGCTTTTTGTTTTATATTTTGACAGAAAAACTCTTAACTACGAACAAAATAAAAGTTAATTATAAATTGAAATCTCGCTCATTAATAAATCATTAATTCTTCCTTTGAAATCAAAGTGAAATATGTTGGCTTTGTGTCAGAATTTCAACAATGAAGATAGAGCCGTAAACAAAAAGCATCAAATATTCACTAATTATGCCCGGCATTCATATTTCGTTATTTAGCATACATTACGACAATAAATGCAAAGCTTTTTCAAATACTATTAGAATAGAAAACATGGCGATAACGGAAACAAAACGCATAACAAATTTCCGGTCGCGTGAAATTTATTTTCGCAACAGAATTTGTGTTCAGATAATAAATTTTTTTTTTCGTTGCATTATTTACGATTTCAGTAGTCATTGATGCGATGTATAATTTGTCAAGTTCATTACTTATGCTTTTGTTACTCTGCATTGTCCTTCCAATGTGTAGATTTTTGGTGCGATTTTATTTAGTTGCGGCTGGAGGTCCTGCCTGCATTCTCTCACAAAGCCATGTGAACACCATTATTTGATAAATGCTGCTCGTATATGAGAGTTTATAGAAAGTGAAATATAATTTGGTATTGTGAGGAAACCAGTTTATTTTTTGATATATTTTTCTGATGTGATTTTCTACTGCAAATTGGTTGTGCAACATATTATAATAAACATAAAAATATATGGACGTATTGCGCACAATTAAGTCACTCATACGCACCGATGTACACGTTTAATAATTGTAATATAAATCGTAAGTACGGTCTAAGCTGCATCATTTCAGAAATTTATTTTTTGTATCAATTTTAATTTAAAAAAAATACTATAATTTCTGAGTTGTTTTTATCTTTTCCAAAATTTGAAAAAATTGATCACAAGTAACATATTTTGTTTAATTTTTAAGGATTAATACAAATAAAAGATTTCTTTCCAAACTAAATCAAAATGATGACCTTAGAAAAAACAAGGTGTCTTCCAAACGGAAAAGGGTTATTTGAAAAACGATATTTGTATTGTGAACAACTACTAGTCAGTGTATCAAATTTTTCAGCTTCACTAGCGCAGCATCATGTGAATTGTTCGAATATAAACTGATTCATGGGCGCAGCATCATGAGAATTTTTCGAATATAAACTGATTCATGGCTTCTGAAGTAACATTTCTACTGGATGTTACAACAGTTTGGATATTATAGAATATTTTTAAAATAAATTCACAAAAAATATTCCTCTTCAATGAATTGCATATATCTGAAAAAGTAATTAAGTGCAAAATGACAAACGGTTATTGAAAACATATTCCTTTTATCAGCTAATGCTTTCTGTGGAAAGATAATTAAAAGGCGAAAAAAATATAAAACGATAAGAATCTTATAATCAAATCAAGGTTTTTAATCAAACATTGCAGACAAGTGCTGATCGATGAGAATACTCTATTGCCAGTCATTATGTGAGGAAAAAAATATGCACACTTTTTAGGTAACCCAAATGTACCTAAGCCAAATGGTTTTGGATGATATTTGATTAATTAAGTTGAAGTACCTATGGCGATAGTAGATTACTCAAGAATTTGTTCATCATTTACGTGCTTCCAATTGTTTCTAGACCTGTGTCTCATCAATAAATTATATCACAGAAGTAATGCCTTTGCGGGTAAGGTGTTAAAATATACTCGACGTAAGGTATGCCTGTCGTAAGAGCGATTTATTTAGATTGAGAGTGGTAGTGAGTGAGATAATCTTGCGACACCTGAGCGGAGAAGTAAATTTTGTACTACGGAGGTCAGTGCTCGTAGCTTTGCCTATCCTGACCAAATAAGGTTGGCAGCGTTATGGTGGCTGTGGTTCATACCCAAACTTACGTGGGAAAACTGATTGTATTTTACACAAAACCGGGTGCTGTGACCCAAAGATCAGCAGAAGTTGAATGGGCCTCACACCTTACCAAGAAGGAAGTCATGCCAAACACATAACTTTAACTGATCCCAGCGGAAATTCTTTGAAATTTCCAAAGGGACAGGTAACCACGCTAAACAACACTGGATTTTGTCACAGAAGTTAATAATCACTACGAAAAACCTACCTCATTAATTAAAATGTATTGAAAAACTGTGTGAATATTGTTCTACATTGATAACATAAACTTTAAATGCTGACGCTCGACGTAAAGTCATGAAATTTTGACAGTACATCAATGAAAAATCTACTTCATCCAACAATGATATTCCGAATACATGGTTTTATCACAAAACATTTTTTTATAGTATGGTTCACTTTGAATTTCTCCTTAATTATTAAATAGTATTTTGAAAATGTTATTAATATCACATATAAAAGTTGTTAACAGTTAATATTACAATATTTATGTTGAGGCAAATATATAGCGTAGCTGAACGTCATGTTTAAAGCCACAACATATTTGTAATGCCCTAAAGTGAAATTTGACATATGAAGCGATTAATCTAAGTGCACTTGGATTTGCATAACAGCCTAAAGTATTTCATAATTGCGTATCCATTAATCAGAAATGCTTGTGTACATATCCATAACTAGTGATTACACTCAAGAACAAAATAAGCTTTTATTTCGGGTTTTATGTGCATAACGAATGTATAGATGCTCATCCTTTAAACATTACAAAATATATTATATCTTTGAGGAAATTTTTAACCAAACAACAGAGAAAACACTGCCTTGCAGAATGTACACTAAACTTAAAAGACTAAACATTGCAGTATTTCTATGAGTTTATGAAACGCAATAGTTGAAAGGATCTACAAATTTACAGAGGAAAATCATTAAAGACGATATGTGTCAAAAGCAGAAAAACAACTTAACATTAAGGAAGAAGCACATAATTTTAGTAATGTACAAGTATTTACTTTCACCATAGAAAAAGAATGTAAAGAATACATTTAGATATGGATAAGTAAATTTAAATACTTTAAAGTATTTGAAGAGCAGCGCTTGTGATTCTCTCTTGAGTATTTGTTAACGTATAGTTATCATTTCTGTGTCCTTTGCTGAAAATATATGGTAAATATGTCAGTATTTTTATAAAAACAGAATATATTATATTTTTAGTGAATATTATTATATTATATACAGTAGTAAAAAACTGTCATTCTAATGGGGTGCTTTATCAATGCAATATTTGCATTAATGATATTTGCAGTTCACTTAATTTTTTTCAATATTTGACCACTTGTTTTTATATTCACATGAAATTTTTATCAAAATGTACCATAAGTATTGAGCAGCAATTTTACATACACCCATTAAACATGATTCCCCTATCAATATTCAAATATACTTCAAAAAGACACTGCATTAAGATGTTTATGCAGTTTTTATATGTGGTGTTAAGCTCTGTGGCATTTAGAAACCCTCAACATCATATACTATATATTGAAGACTTAAAAAGATGAAACTGAACGACTGTAACATTACCTCAAAGAAGAAATTCGTATATGAAAGGATGTGGAAACAAATGTATGAATGTAAATGCTAATTCATACAAAATGCATGCATTCCCCCAATTCAGAATTTATCAGACATTTTAAGAGTTAAATGCTGCAATATGAAGTAGTTTTTAAGAGGAGTTTAAGTGCAGCAACATTCCTGAAATTTTTGTAGCATTTTTCAATTACGGAATTCATAACTGTCAAAGCAATATTTTTATCCATTATTCGATACAATTCTTTTATTTTTG